AGGCCTGGCGGCTGGGCGAGAGCAAACAAGTGCTCCCGCTTTACTGCTCCACCCGCCACGGCGAATCCGTTTCCCGCTTTTGCCCTCAGAAACTTGCCTCCTCTCCTTGCTCCTTAATATACTCGGCATTACCACTTGAGTGTTTCTAATAAGTAATTAAATCCCCCCGCCACAAACCCCAGCTCCCGGCACGTCGCCGGGAGTCTCGCTCAGCCCTCCGGGGAAGCCGGCACTGTTATTTATTGTTTTTGTCTCAAATCATTATTTAATCAAGAACGGGGGGGGGAAAAAAGACAACCTCTCACTTACACTTTAAAATTTAATTTCAGCTGAATTCTGAGATCAAGAGGCAGCACAGCCTAATAGGTTACAAAAATACAATCAAGAAGAGAATTCCAATTAAGCCGAACAAGTCCATTTACTGAGCTTCGAATGGCCCCATGGAGAGAGACGGCTATAAATTTTTTTCCTTCCCTGCCATGCGGGGGGGGGACTGGAAATTCTCACGTGGATCCGGAGCTGCATGGCAGAGCTTTTAGCTGGAGGGTTCTGGTTGCTTCTTTTTAAAAAATCCTTTTGTTGCACAAAAGGCATTACGTTTATTTTGCTCGGTGCTGTTCATGTTCCTTTGCAAACTAATTAGGAAGCCGGCGAAAGGATTGCTTCACTGACCTGTTGGGAGTTCATTGGAGAAGAGCAGGGCCCGGAGAAGGACAGGGGACCTGCTGGGGATCGTGGGAAGACAACCCAGTCCTTCAGGGCCGGAGGCATCGCACGGGCTGTGTGCTGCATTTGACCTTGGGCCCAGGCAGACGGTCTGGCCTTCTCCCGTCCTTCCCTCCAGCAGGTGGCCCATGAGGACTCCTGGCTTTGGCTTCTCCATTTCTCAGAAGCCCCTCTTGCCAGCCCCCCAGCCCAGGGCTTCTCCAAAATCCCAGCACGGATGCAGTTAGACAGATTTCTCACCAGCCCCAATTGAAACGAAAGAGATACGTCCAATGCCAGGCACTGGGTGAACAACTATGAACAAGACAGGCAAGGTTCCTGCCCTCTTGCAGCTTCAGTCTGTGTGAAAAATAGTCCAGTGCTTGGGACATAACACTCAGTGTACAATAGTTGCTCGGGTTATTATTTGTTGTCAGAGCGGCTCTATTAAACTTACTCCAGATAAACCCAGACATGATGTTTCAAAAAGTTTAATCATATCCAGGACCTCTGGTCCTTCTTCTGTGGTCCTACTCCACACGGCATCTGCTTCCATCGCCATCAGGGGTGACATTCAAAATATTCAACAGTTGGTTGAGCCTGGGCACTGCCCCTTCCGAAGGCAGCTGGCCTCAGTACTGAAGGGCTGTCAGGTATCACTCTTCAGTTGCTGGACTGAGCGAAGGTCCAGAAAGCGCCAGGGGAGAAAAGAGATGGCTTCGTTGACTGGGGGTGGGGTGGTGACGGGGTCTATTTATCAACTGATGTGCAGGTATTTGAACAGTTTAACGACCGAGGAGGCCCGGCGCTCACCCCCTCAGTCTCAGCCCTGACTACCACACTTCTCTCGCTGTGTTGCAGGCCCATGCTCGCTACCAGGCTGCCAGCTCTGGGGTTCAGGAGAGTTTTATCCCTCCCTGTCTCCCTAAAGCCTTGAACGAGATGGTCGAGTGGAGACGAGGAGCGTGAGTGAGGCTGTGAAGGGTCCCTAAATCGTTTCCTTGGGACCCTCCATTTGGATTTGAGCTCAGACCCAGCAAGAGGGCTTCAGGTTATCTTCAGCTCACCAAGTAGCACTGCAATGAGATGCGACCCCAGATTTGCATATTCATATATGCAAATACGCCCCTTGATGGGCCGCGGCTGCCCTTGATTTTTTAAAGAGCTGTGCGTTGGAAACGCCTGCCACGGAGTGTGGCGGGAACGGTGGCGTAGCAGACACTTCACGCTCAGGTTCCCGGCGTCTCCAGGCCGCGGGGCGTCTCGTCCTGGAATTCCGCCTCCATTCCCACTCCAGTCTTCGTCTCCTGCCCCCCGGCTCCCTCGGCTCCCCTTCAGTTTCTCAGTGAGTTGCCGCCTTCTCTGCCCTGCCCTCACCCGGACCCTGGCTCCCGTCCCGGCCTGCTCACCTTCAACCCCATCTCCGCATCTCGGCATTCATCGCTACGTTTTCTCTTATACAGACTTCTCCTTGCACTGGATCCCGAGACCGGTGTCAGAGCTGACCCTTCAGAGATGCGCAGCAGACAACTGGGCGATCGGAGCGAACGACTGAACAGGTGGCCAGTGACAGCGACGTTGATGTTCTCTCTAACGGAGAGCTCAGGAAAATCTTGGGGCCAGAGCTCTTGGAAAACCGTGGGTCCCACCCGGCACCCTCTCTCGTCTCTGCCTTTGCAGGACAGGAGATGAGACGGGGTCGAGAGTGGAGGGCACTCGGAGGACCAGAACTGGGGGGCATCGGGTGTCCCCAGAAGTCGGGCAACCTTGAGCGGGGTGGTGCCGGCCATACGGGCTGCAGCCGCCATCTAGGATGGAAGGAAACCAAAGGCAGGGAAGCAGGGGCCTGGGCTCTAAGCCCCAACTCATCCGCCGTCTAGCGGGGCCTAGAACCACACCAACGTTCCTATGACGACCGTTGCCGCTACCACTGTTGCTACTGTTTCTGTCTCCACGGTTACTACGACGGCTGCCACATCATCAGCATCAACATAGCAGCGCCTGCCACGTGCCAGCTGCACTCGAAGGTGTTTCCTTGCACCGAGTCATTGACCCTCATAACACACCTCTCAGGGGGCAGGTCTCATATTATCCGAGTTTTGCAGGTTTAGAGGAAACGGAGGCCCAGCAAGTGTATGGAACTTGCTCGAGGTCCTCCGGCGGGTAGGGGCAGAGCCAGAGTCGGGGATGTTGTCATGGTAACACCCGCTGAGACCTGCTGAGTTCGGCCCCTTGCCAAGCGCCGGGACCGGCGGCTCCCGCTCCTTTGCTTTCGTCCTAACAAGGAGGCTTTTGAGGAACAGACTTATTGTCTTTTCTTTAACAGATGCGGAAACGGTGGCTCAGAGCCAGCTCTGACCACGCGATCATAACCCCACGTGGGTTTTTTCAACAGCTCTGACTTGCCATGGCTCGTGGAAGCCGTGTATCTTCTGAGTCTCGGTTTCTTTTCTTGGAATCAGGGGATTGAGTCAGCTGAGCCCTCAAGGTCTCTGCCTTCTAGACACGGCTGAGCTTTCAGCTCTCCTGAGGAGGGCTGGGTCCACGGGGGACATCACGGCTTCAAACCTACAGCCAATCTTGTACCTTACTAGCTGATTCGGGAGGATCCCTTCCCCCCCCCCAACATCTGGACAGACCTGCCCTGTTAGGAAACCCTCCCAGGCAGGTGAGAAAACATAACCAGTTGCTCCCAATGGCACTTTTTCATGAGGGTCAGTGGGGCCACCAAATGGGCTGCCACAAATACAATGACCAGGGAGACTGGGCGGCTTTCCTGGACCTAAAAGCATCCTTCCATCTCTTTTTGCTTGTATTTTAAATTTATTTCTACCTTTGCAACAATGTGTCTGGGAGACAAGCGAGATTATCATACCCATTTCCCAGGTGAGAAAACCGAGGCTGGAAGGGATCAAGGAACCGTCCAGCCAAGCCAAGTCTTGAACCCAGTCTTGGAACCCCTACATACTGGGAAGACCTTTCGGAGGACATTGGGGGATGGGAGAATGCAGGTGGGCGTTTTCCATCTGCTGATCCTCAGCACCACAGGCTTCTACACAGAGGAGGGGCCGGGCAGGGTTGTGGATGGTCCAGGGAGAGACAGAGGATTTGGGCAAAATTGAGTCTCAGTGATTCAGGGCGCCTGGGCTGGTAAAGAAGGGTTTCGGCATGCACGGCGGAGCTCAGCTACTGTGTCAACCAGACCCAGCGAGGGCTTGTCATCGCCTCTCTTCACTGACCCCCCCAAAGCACCTCTTTCCCCTCCTTCTGCCTCATCTCTTCTAAGGGAGCAGCGATCTGGAGTTTTCAGATTTGCTCGTAGCTGGAGGAGACGGGTCCCTTTCTACCAGTCAGGCTCAACTGTAGGCCACACAGGGTTGAATCTCCTCTTGTTTGTCTGTCTGTCTCTTTAGCATCTACAAAAGGCCATCACATACTTATTACATATCCCCAAACACCCCCTACGGAAGTGGTATTAGTTCAAGTTTACCCGTGAGAAAGCTAAGTTTCAATGAGTTTAGGTGACTTTCCCAAAGCCACACAGCTAGGAGGTGGCAACGCTGGGACCTGAGTTCAGATTGAACTGCAAACCCCTTGCCCAGGAAGCTTTGTGGTGTCAACTGTCTGAAGTCAGGTTCCAGCTCCTCACTGCTGGCCCCAGGGAAGGTGATATCAGTCCATTAGCTTTTGCTCTGCTCTGTGGTTTTTACCCAGACCTCAACCTCTCTGAGCCTTGTTTCTTTTTTGGTCCCATCAGTGGAAGGGACTAGGGAGAGCAGCTGTGCCCTCAAACCCCTGAGACCTTTGTGGACACATGACAGGACACAGATCCTATGCGTTTAAGGCCATGATAATAAAGGTGAAGCCACGTCCCAGCTGGCAGTCAAGGCTGCAGCTGGCTGGCATCAGATGTGGATTCACTGAAAAGCTGGAGTGCCCCTGGTACCTCGAACCCCCCTCTGTTCCCTCCTCCCCCATGTGCCTCCTACAGTGCCTCACACATGCTTTCCTGAAGATGACACTCTGAGACCAATATGTATTTTTCAACATCCCCTGGGTATTTTCATTTGTCTAACCACCTGTTCCCAGCCCCAGACCCCCAAGCCGAGTGCTGCCAAAGGCTGGCGAATGACCATGGGGTTCATCAGCAGTGAGGTCTGAAACTAGTGGGGTATTTGCCCAAAACTGAATTAAAATGTGTTGAATACTGCCCTGAACTTGTGCCTTCACGTCCCCCCTGCCCCCCACCAGGTGTCGTGGCCGAGGCTGGCCGGGAGGCCGCGAGGAATACTTACTACACCCCTGGCCGACAGGAGGCTGAGCATCTGGAGGGGCTGGCTGGGCGGGTGGCCGGACCGGGCCTCGGGGCTGGCCTTGCCCAGGGTCTTGGAGCAGCGGCGGGAGTGCCTTTGGCGAGACTTCCGCCCTTCCTCGGGGGACCGGCCGCGGTGCCTGGGGCGGGGGAGAGAGGCCTGAGGGTCTGCTGAAGGGGGGTTTGGCAGACCGGCGGCTGAGGGCCGCACAGGACCCGAGGGCTGCAGAGGGTTTGGGTGGGTTTGTGTGAGCTCCGTGGGCATCCGCCCATCGCCTGCCCACCCGCCCCGTCATTCATTCTTTCACTGTCTCACGTGCTCAGCTGACAAATGCTTAGTCACGCACCTGACACTGCGTCAGGGGCTGGGGATGCAGCTATGGAGACAGGGAAGGTCCCTACCCTGATCTGGTTCAATGTCCTTCACACATCTGTGTGGTTGTCTGTCTGTCTGTGTCTGTATGTGACTGTGTATGTCTGGGCGCGTCTGTCTGTGTTTTCATGTTTGTCTATAAACACAACCGCAGATTTCTGTGTGTCTTTGTGTATGTGATTCAACCATCTGGGAAACAGAGGCATCTTATTAACTGTCACTCAGAACTTTTTTGGGGGAAAAAAAAACCTCACAAAAGTGACAAAGATGCCTTCTGCAAGCCTGTTGGATCTAGACCTGGCTGCCCTGCCTGCAGTGGAGACCAGAGGACTTTGTGGCTCTTCAGAAGGGGCGTATGTGGACTCTGGCGGCCCCTTAGCTCTGAGCCGCAGTAGTAGTAAAACGAAACCCTCTCGATCGGCACGACACCCGTAAAAGCCTCTTAAAGGGCCTTCGCAGTGCGCTGAGGTCGCAGAGGGCGGGCTCTGGGCAGCGCTGCGGGAGGAGGCGGTCTGGGCGAGGGGTTACCTGCTCTCACAGCTGGAGGACCGAGACTCCGAGCTCTGGGACCGCGAGGGGCAGTGGTGATGGCGGTGGCGGTGAGACTTTCGGGGCCGGCTTCGCGATCTTGGGGGTCAGGGGGTGAGAAGGAGAGAGTCACAGGAGAGAGAGAGACTGATTGGTTGATTCTGATGTTGTGACACGCATTGTCCTCTGTTGGAGTCCCTCCCAAAGTTACGCATCTCCCTCCACCTCACCGGCCACAACACCCTTGCTCCCCACGTGGGTATCTGGGGTCTCTAACCAGCCGTGCTGAACACGAGTGAGCAGAAAGGGGGTCCTCTGGAGGAGGCGGCCTGGATGGCTCAACCCGCACCTGCTGGAAGCTGCCGACCACACCCTGGGCAAGAACATCCCTTCCACATGTCACCTCTCCCTCTCCTAAGGCAGGAGGAGTCTCCATCTCAGACAGCTTCTTGTGCCAGTCAGGTACCATAATGGTACCGAAATATCAGCTGAAAGGCTTGGGTTAAAGAAAGGAGTGGCTTTGCCTCCAGAATACTGGCGTGGCGCTGGGCTTTTTAATTTTTCAAGTGAATGTAGAAATACAGATTTTTTTTTTTTAATGTAAAAGATTCCTATTTTAAATGGAGGCTCATTTTTTAAAAACAATGACACCGTTTGGGGCAAGCAAAACACATTTGCAGAATAAATGAGGCCTTTGGGCTGCCAATTTGTAACCTCAGACCTGGAAAATTAAGTCCAGATTCTTCCCATGGAGTCAAAAGCCCGCTTTCAGAATGAGTGGCAAACATCATCAACAATGAAAATGACAATAATCACGACCGCTGCCACTAAAATTGGTTCTTTACCAGTTACTTCAGCTCCCTTTCAGCAATAGCAATGACTCAGAAGTAGAAGGGGCAGTGGTCACCGAGGACGTACAAGGAATGTCAGTGGCTTGGGCCAAGCCGGGAAGATAGTGGGAGTTAGAGATGACTTTGTTGGTTATCCCAACAAAGGACTCAGGGATTCTTGTAATGCGATCATCAGACCATTGCCCTCCTGTCACGTCCAAACTCTGACCTTGAATCCCAGCCACCTTCAGGAGTCACCCCCTGTCTAGCTCTCCAGCCTCCTTGCATGATAGCTCCTGGCCTGGCCGGCTCAAGCAGCATCGAAATGCTTGTATTCTCGTTCATGCATTTCCCAGTTCACAATGTCCTTGTGTTGGTGATAAGGATGACAGGTGACCCATAGCTAACACACACTGTGTGCCTGGCATTGTGTTCTAAGCGTTTTCCTTAAACGGACTCAACCACTCCTCGCAACAGCCTATGGAGTAGGTTCTCTATTACACCCATTTCACAGATGAGGAAACCAAGGCACAGAAAGTCTACAGAACTTGCCTAACCTGCAACCTAGAACAGTTCCGCCTCCATTCTCACCCTAACCCAGACATCCCCTCCTGCAGGAAGCCTCCCCACCCCTCATCACCATGCTCTCTTTCCAGCACCAGGGCTCCCACTGTCCCCTGGACTTCTGTCTGCCACCACTGTGCTTCGACCTGTCCCTGCCCATCTCCTGGGCCCCTCTGCACCGTGAGCTTCTCGAGGCCAAAAGAACAGCTGGCTGACCTCTGTCCTGGGCCCGGCACAGGGCCTGCCACGTGTCAGGGCCTCACTAAGGGATGTTGAATAAAAGGTGGCGAACTCACACCAGGGGTCACTTGTTGAAAAGCAGCCGGATATGGGACTTGGCAAGAGTGACCGCCCCTGATCTCAGGGCACCTTGCTTCTCTTGCTCTTGACTTCAGCTTTTACAACCTTTCTTACGTCCTGCTAGCGATTTCCAGGGCTCATCTAACTCTTGGCACCGGGGAGGGCGGCCACCTTGCTGCCCTCGGGCCGTCAGCCCTGGTCTCAGCGGATCCCTCCCAGTGCTCTTAGGGTCTGGGCCCAGCCCCTGGCTCTGGGGTGTCTGCGCTGCAGGACTCGGAGAATACGCTCTCCGTCTGCGCTTGGCAGGAAAGCACATGCAGTACCTATGACCAACAATCCCTCTTGACTTGAGCAACAAGCAGAGGGTGGGGAAGTTCTTCCCTGAGCTAACCCAAAGCTCTAACGCTTCCTTCTGGAGCTTTCCCCGGGCACCGTGGTGGTGGCTGAAATGCCCTCCTTTGCACTGACCTTGGGTGAAGTGACCTTTTGGAGCAGCAAAGCCGAGCGCCCTCCCTCTGTGCCCTGCCTTTCATCCCACTGCCTTTGATCCTCCTTTTAGAAGCTTCTTGGCAGGAGATAAAATATTAGTTGATTGGAAAACGCACGCGCTACTGTTTGCAGGGTATAAAGTAGGTGGGCTGTAACCAAATTTACTTTTAATTTGGCTGGGAAGTGAACTCCACAGGAAGCGCTGACTGATTTGAATTTCTACCACCGGCTATAAACCTTGAACCAGCTGGGGCCCCGAGACGGGGCAGGAGCTCAATGACATCTCCGTGCCCCGAGCGGCAGCAGCCAGGCTCAGACTCGAGTGCACACTCATGCACGTGCATGCACGTGGCCTCGCCCCTTTAGCCCCTTGTGCACACAGCACACGCGTGTGCACACAGCACACGCATGTGCACAGGTGAAAACCACCCTACCCCCCCCCCC